CATTAAGGTCAGAGAACTCAAGGAAGGTGATTCCTTGCAATTCTGTATCTGAAAGGTATTCAAATGTGTGAATCTACCTACCAAGGAGAAATACTACAAAATTGAATTGTTCATTTTAAAAAGCCAGCGTACACTATTATTCTCAGTAGTCATAAATCTCTCAAAACAAGACTTTGCATCTTTTTATGATCAAAGTTAAAGTTTTGCTGTCAGTTCAGCCAGTGATAGGTTTAATGTTTTTCCTTGTTGCTTTTTTGGGGACCAGCTGTTTGACTAGGATCTCTTAGAGTATCAGGATGGGGAAAAAGGAGAGATAAATTAAATATGTGCTTATATGTTAAGGGCCAAAATTGTAAACAAGTCAAATCCTAAAGGTCAGTATGAGTTATTTGTTCTCTTGTAATTTTGTTTATTTAGATAATCTTCAATTAATAGATTGGTAGGCAAGATTTGACAATCCTTTTGTCATATAAAAGTGATATTAAATTGAGATAGATTTTTCAAATGAAAATCCAGAAAGAGAAAATAAAGATGAATAATGAAAATATCTAATTTTCATTAAATTTTTGGTGGCTCATGCCTGTAATCAAAGCACTTTGGGAGGCTGAGGCAGGCGGATCACCTGAGGTTGGGAGTTCAAGACCAGCCGACCAACATGGAGAAACCCCGTCTCTACTAAAAATACAAAATTAGCTGGGCGTGGTTGCACATGCCTATAATCCCAGCTACTCGGGAGGCTGAGGCAGGAGAATTGCTTGAATCTGGGAGGCGGAGGTTGCGCTACTGCACTCTACCTGGGCAACTAGAGTGAAACTCAATCTTAAACAAACAAACCCCGTCTCCACTAAAAAATACAAAAAACTAGCCGGGCGAAGTGGCGGGCGCCTGTAGTCCCAGCTACTCGGGAGGCTGAGGCGGGAGAATGGCGTGAACCTGAAAAAAAAAAAAAAAAAGAAACAAACAAACAAAAAGAAGGTATCTAAAAGGTGCTGAATAGTTTGTAAGATGAAGTCAAATCAGAAGTTGTAAGTGATTTGCATCTCGTTGATTCCCAGGATATATTTGAAAAATTTAGTTATGAATGATACAGTTTGCCCTATAAGAAGTCTTTGAAGTCCCTTATGAGCATTTATTATGTTCGGCCCAGTGTGGATTTCTAAATATGTATGTATAACATTTTCCAAATATCATGTTTAGAAAACAATAAATATTTAATTTTATTGGGATAATATGACACACTTTTATTTAACGAATATTTTGATATCATTGATTATTATATATTATCTAGATTTTAAAATGTAACAGTTTGTTTGGTTTGATAATGTTTAGTATCTAGCTTTAGCCCAGGATGCGAAAGTCCAGTGTGTCTACATGGTAGTGGCATGATTTGAATCTAACAGATTTGGATACATAGTTTACCTTTTTTTTAAAACAGCGCAGAAAAGGAACCAATATTTCAGAAACAACCTTAATAGGAGCAGCTGCCTCTACATCAACATCCTCTCAAAATGACCCAGAAGTTATCATCGTGGGAGCTGGCGTGCTTGGCTCTGCTTTGGCAGCAGTGCTTTCCAGAGATGGAAGAAAGGTGACAGTAATCGAGAGAGACTTAAAAGAGCCTGACAGAATAGTTGGAGAATTCCTGCAGCCGGGTGGTTATCATGTTCTCAAAGACCTTGGTCTTGGAGGTAGGTTCATATTGATTTTCAGGAGAGTTACGTGGTATAAACAACCACTCTTCATTTAGACCATCCTATGACCAGTAAGAAGATACTCCATTTTATTTTCATTTATAACATTTTCTATACTCATTTACCAACAAATTTGCATGAAAATGAGAGCAAAGGATAAAATAAGCGTTTAATAGTATGATCACATGTGAATTAGACTTAATGAGATATAACAACATGGCCAAAAGACTGTAATGGTCAAAACTAAGGACTGATAAATCCTAGAATGAGGGCATTAAATTTTGTGAAAGGTGAAGGGAACTGTCATTTGTGGAGAGTGTATTGTATACTTGTTACAGTGTTATTACGTAGAATCTTATTTAAGCACCATTCATCCATTCAACCAGTGCTTTTTAAGTACTGGCTATTCATTTAGGAAATATTCATTGCCTACTTTGTGTGGGGATGGGGTGGTGGGGTAGGGTGGGGTGGGGAAGGTGGGAGAGAGACAAAGAAACAAGCCCTCCCCTGTCTCTTTTTCCAAGGGCACTTATCTTATCATGAGAGTCTACCCTCATGACCTGATCACCTCCTAGAGGCTCCATCTCCAAATATCATCACATTGGGGATTAGAGTTTTAGCTTAGGAATTTTGGGAGGACACAAACATCTAGTCAATACCATATTTAAACATTTTATGTCACTAATATATATACTAGAGTCCACTTTTTCACTTGACATAAATGTATTTCCAATACTGTTAACCATTCTTTATCATTATCATTTTAAGCCCAAGCATAGTAATTTTTCAGTTGACTTCATAATATACTTCACTTTTCAAACTTAGATGAATGTTTAGGTTATTTTCAGTTACCCTTTATTAGGTAACACTATAGTGAACCTATTCTTGCATGTAACTTTAAAGATTATTAAATATATCTTTAGGATGAATTTCTTACATGGATTTCCAAGATTAAGATTATTACATCGAAGGATGCTAATGTCTTCATGGTTCTCGATAATTATTGTTATATTTTCTAAAATATAATATTAGTTTATAGTATCACCAGTAATATATGAATTTATCAGTTTTATCATAATCTCATCAGTGATTTTGATGGTATTGTTTTAATTTTTACTTAATTGATTTTTTTATCACTTGAACATTTTTTCTGATTTGTTCACTGTTTCTGTATTGCTTTATATGAATCATTCATACATGTTTTTGTCCATTACTATTGGCATCTTAATATCTTCCAGTGGTTTTTAATGAGTAAATTTTATTATGTATACACATATTAATCTTTTGTTCTATTTCATATGTCTTTCCCAAAGTATTGTTTTAGCTTTTATTTTTAAAATTAATTTTAAACTTTCTAATTTTCAGTTGGCACTTAGTTATATTTTCTATTGAAAGTTTTTTCTTTTTCAACTTCTTTTGCTGCTTTAGATTTAAGAAAGCAATTTTTACATGATTCTGATGAATTCAGTGTTTTGTTTGCTGCCATTTAAATTATTTGATGTACTAAAAAGCTCTTTGCAGTTTGTCCTGAGTCAACTTTGATGGATAGTATGTAATCATCAACAGTTGGGGATAATTCTACCCTTTCCATTTGGTTTGGAAA